GCTGCACTAAGTGTGAGAACTGGAGGTCTGGTCCCACAGCCCACACAGATGCCCGGTGAGTGTGCGGCACATCTGTAATTCCGGTGCTCAGTGAGCAGAGACAGGAGACCTCCCAGGGCAAACTGGCTTGTAAGAACAGCCGTATCACCAAGCCGTGACTCCGTGAATAAGGAGAGCAAACGAAGGCTCCTGGTGTCAATTTCAGGCCTCCACAAGCTCACACAATTTTTTAAAAACATAAATGTCTTTAAAACAACCTGCCGTCAGCTTATTATCAGAATGGGCAAAAATAAGGACAGAAACAGGTAATCATGAACTCTATACTTCCTTATTAAACAGAAATGCAGCTTTAAACAATGAGATGCATGTGGAGATTCCCTGTTGAAGTATGCAGCTTGCCAACAAAGCGATCTTGGTTCTAAGGGCCTCCTTTACATGCTCTACGATAATTACTGGACAGGAAGAGGATGAAGCGGGCAGGAATGGAGGGAGCAAGGGAAGCAGTCAGCAGAAGCTGTGCTTAGTGAGAACGCAACACTGAGTCCATTTCCACTTCCAGACACCTCTGCTACACCGTGTCCATTTCCACTTTCCAGACACCTCTACTTTCCCTAGGAGACTCCAGCCCGAGGGGCGGCCATACAGCTTATTCCTTAACCTGTTCGCTTGTTCTGACGTAAGATGAAGCTCAGCACGTCCTAGGCTATATGTACACACAAATTTTAGCACATGACCAAGAGTACACTTAAACAAAGTATTGCGGGAGACAACCTAGTGCACACATTCAGCCAGGACATACTGTGTCAGGCACTGTTTTCAGCTCCAAGTGTTCTCTGGATTTACTCAACACAGTCCCACGAGTATTTACTGACCACCTGCAGAGGGGGCTCTGCACACTCGGAAGTCAGCGCTGTCATCAAGCAGCCTCTGTGGCACTGCGTCCTCTGCACCCAGACCAAGTTCACAGGATCTGACTGAATTAATTCCGTAACCGGCCCTCATTACAGTAACTCTGACTATCAATGAGGGAAATTCAAGCTTTTCAACAAAATGTTTGGTACTGGCTGACAAACTCCGGATGCCCAACCTTCTCTTAAAGCTGTTTAGTGGAAGGTGAAACATTTTAAGTAGTTGAGAACGAATGTAAACATGTTCTATTTTTTGTAATGTGACCTGAATTTCAAGATAACCATGTCACTCCTGTGAGCACTCTTTCAGCCTATCAATGCGGAACAAAACTTCCTTATAATAGGTTGGCAGGCACAAACTGCAGAGTCAGTGTTGCTGACATACTTTTTGGCAAGTCTGTTTTGAGACTCTCCTAAAGACCACCACACAGATTCTCTGGCACATTAGACCTTGGCAACTGGTGTTCCAAAGCAAGGGTACTTTTAAGAGTCATTATTCTAAACAGAAGTAGTCCTCATAAGCATTCCATTTCTAAACTATATTTTCCATGCAGGCAGGGTAAGGACAGACATATGCAGCTCTTAAAGCCTGTCAGTCAATCCTGATGTGTATTCCTGTTCAAGGACCACTGGCCCTGGGGCTGGGCACACAGCAGCGTAGTTCCTCTTACCGTCCACTGACAGAAGGGCACCCAAGCTGGGAAGTAACAACTACAATACTACGTGGAGAACAGACACATGGAGGGATCTGAGTTTGGGTTACTAGAGCAAGGCTGAAGTAATTCTCAGGCACCCCATAGATTGCGTTATCTCAGTCTTAACCTGTGCTGCTAATATTTAAGTTCAAGAGCTGGGTGTGGTAGCACACATCTGTAATATAAGCACTCAGAAGGCAAAGTCAGGAGGCTCTCTGTGAGTTCCAGGCCAGCCAGAGGCATACAATGAGACCCTGTCCAAAAAGTACAGAAATTACACACACGTAAGACAGTATGCCGTAAAGAAAGGTCCACCTGTTCTACTTCTCTGCCACTCTACCCAAGGAAGCTAAGGACTAGTAATACACATTTCTACTATCTCCTCTGACAGTGGTCCTTACTTCAGTGCCAAGTACCTGATGTGTAACAGACAACAGACTAAAATTTATTATTCAAACATGTATATAATAAAAGTCAAGTTACAATCAAAGAGTTAAGATTACAAAGCTGATTTCTTCTAGACAAAGAAGTTGACAAAGAAATGTAAAGTCCTGCTTTTAATACTAGAGTCACTAGTACCCTGTGTGTAATAGCAAATGATCTTGTTTTCAAGAAAATAACTGTTTTCAAGCAAGTGAATAATTTCCTAAGAGTAGATAACTTTATGCATACTGAGCAAGTTTATTTGCAAGGAGAATTTTATAACAAATTTATTTAGCAATTTATAGGTGATAATCAAAAGCATCTGCCTTGTTCTAGGGTATAGAACTTACCAAAAGCTTTAGCAGCCTGGATGGTTTCCCTGGATCCCCGAATTGTCATGATTTGAGCCAAAGCAGTTAAGTCATCGCTGGCCTTGTAAAATGGGTACCGCCCACTGAGCAGGGAGAGGAGGATGATGCCCGCAGACCACATGTCAATCGCTGTGACAGAAAACAAGCTTTAAAAACCAGCCTGAGGCCGGGCGGTGGTGGCGCACGCCTTTAATCCCAGCACTCAGGAGGCAGAGCCAGGAGGATCTCTGTGAGTTCGAGGCCAGCCTGGGCTACCAAGTGAGTTCCAGGAAAGGCGCAAAGCTACACAGAGAAACCCTGTCTCGAAAAACCAAAAAAAAAAAAAAAAAAAAAAAAAAAAAAACCAGCCTGAGGCCGGGTGGTGGTGGTGCACGCCTTTAATCCCAGCACTCAGGAGGCAGAGGCAGGGGGATCTCTGTGAGTTCGAGGCCAGCCTGGTCTACAGAGTGAGTTCCAGGAAAGGCGCAAAGTTACACAAGAGAAACCCTGTCTCGAAAAAACAAAAAAACCCAAAAAACCAGGCTGAGCTTGCGACCGTGTGAGCATCTAGACTGTTAGCTGCAGACCTTCACTGCGAACTAACATCACCCTAGGGGCCGTAAAAGCTAGGACACACGGGCTTGAATCAACAGAATCCCATCAAGTAGTTCTGGAATAGGTTTTAAGTTTCTTGGGGGATTTTAATGTATAACCACAACTCTAATTCAGTATTCTTCCTGCGAAATAGTTTTCTCTCGTGAACTAGAATTAGAACTATTTCATCATTAGGAAACTGTAGGTAAATGCACATTTTATAGGATCAAAGGAAACTCAACATTCAGGAAGACACCGGACGCTTTTCAGGATGGCACCTTGGCAGTGCAGGTGACCTCCTCTCAGCGAGACACTGAGCGTTAGCCCCCCACAGCAACAGCCCTGGGTCTGAGCCCCACACCAGCCTGACTGAGTCTTCCTCCTGACTGTCCTGGTACTAAGTGCGGCCACTCAGCACTGCCTGTCCCGGTACTGAGCGCAGCCACTCAGCACTGCCTGTCCCAGTACTGAGCGCGGCCACTCAGCACTGCCTGTCCCGGTACTGAGTGCAGCCACTCAGCACTGCCCTTCTTGGTTTCATGTGCACCACGGTCTGCTCCCTCAGTGTCGTCTCCTCCACCCCTCAGGCTCCACCCACTACACAGCGGCAGCTATGGTCACCCACATACTGGTGCTCAGCCGCGTGTCCACTCCAGCTCCTTCCTGACTCAGACTCAACTCTCCCTCTGCAGGACATTCTCCTGGATGTGCCATAAATCTCAAACCAGCTATGGCTCAGTCCAATTTTACCTTTTATAAACCAGGCTCTCCGCATCTCTATCTTGTTTCTGGGTACACATCTACATCCCTCAGGCTAGTCATACAAACACCCTGATGCCTTTCCCCTTGGTACCAACACCTACTAATGGTTGTCAACTCCTTACTCATTTCCCATTCCTGTGCCGGTGCCATCATGCACCCTCACCCCTCACCTGGACCACGGTGGATACGAGCCTCCAGAAAGCTGTTCTGCACGTCTGCAGGGACCTAGAGCACAACCCTCACGGTCTTCCTTGAATGGCATCCACTGGCCACAGGCTGAGCGGTTTGACACACGGAATCTGTGTCTTCCCAGTGTACTTCCAGTCACCTCCTGAATTCCGTTTTACATTACAAAACACTGAACTTCCGGTCTCCTCTACAGCTAGACTATCTCAGGTCACGCTCAATGCCAATCTCCAACTGCACAGTATTGCCTCAGAGGTCATCTTTTCTATGAACTTGCTTTCATACCCCTTTGGGTAAGAACAGATGCCCCTCAATACCCTATACAGTTTTATCACCACATTCAACAAGTCATTTTGTAACCATGACCACATGTGGCCTAACTATAATGTAAATAGTCGTCCTCATTTTTACATCATTAGCAAGCACAGGACAGGTACATAACGAATGATGATTTCTTCAAAGCCCATGATCCAAGAGAACAGCAGGAGTCATCTCGTTCACCTAACATGGTGTCTCCAGGTTCCACCTCCACAGCAGGAGTCACCTGTACATTGACAAGGTGTCTTCTAAGTTCTATGACTTTCTGGATTCTAGAAACCTTTTCTCTTTTTCAAAATCTGTTAACTGCTACTGCATTATTTTCATGGTAACAAAATAATTAATCAAAAAATTTATTTGTACCACAGAAAACTTCTGAGGTATTAAGTTAACAGGTAAGTGCTATAATTCTAACGCTGACAAAAACTACTGAGCATAGCCTGATTGATATAGTATGTCATTTAAAAAATACCGCATTCAGATCAGAAAGTTGCATAAAGAAACACACTGTCTCAAAGTGGGAGGTGCACTAGCAGGGTCAGCGTCAGGCAACAGCGACGGTGACGAAATAACACACACCCGGGAGAAGCAGTGTGAACGGATGGACCCCTACTTGTGCTGCGTACCTGTGGTCTGGTTAGGACACTTTGTCAGGACCTCCGGTGCTCTGAATCCTGGTGTGCCTGCCCGAGGGGCAACCTGCTGCCGCCTGATGAGGAAGAAATAGGACACCTCCTTACGTTAGTGGGGCATGGTGGCGCACGCCTGTAATCCACCCGAGCTTGGGAGTCAGAAGCTAGGCTGGTCTACACAGGTAAGAATTCTAGGACAGCCTGGTCTACATAAGAGTTCCAGGACAGTCAGGGCTACATAGAGACCCTGTCTCAAAAAACAAACAAACAAACAGAAAAACATTGAACTATGTTAAGTCCAAAAAGTAAGCTATCAATTTAGTTCACATAAAATTCTGTCCTGGTGTCAATAAAAATAAAATTCTTATAAGCACTGAAAACTGACTGTGATAAACATTCTGGATTTTATTCATTCTCCCCCACCAAGCCCCAAACCCTGGCCTTATCCCAGACAATTTTAACACAAATTCCAAGTATAAAAACAGATGGTAGATAATAAAAACTGTAAGAGAAAAACAGAACACAAAAGGAATTTATATAAAAATCCTTTTGTTTGGGGATCTTGAGTTCCTGATATACTTATTCACATGCAGATTTGAGTTAATCAGGAAGGCTCTATAAAAACCAAGTCTAAAGGAAAAACTTACAAGGCAGAGGAGTAAGAAGCATTATTTGGTCCTGGTTATTCAACACAGGCAGGAGTCAAGTCGGCAGAAACAATGGCTTCTGCAAGAGATGTCTCCCAGAGCCTCCTCCACCCACCCTCGCTGCATGAGAGCAGACGTGCTCTCCAGAGACAGTGTTTCCATCAGATGAATACATGGCCCCCGTTACTTGTCTAATGGATTGCTGTGTACCAGCCCACATCCACCAGTTGTTTACAGTTCTAATGCTGTCTGGCACCATGCTGTGACTCTACAGAACGTTCAACACCTTACCTCGACAGGCAGATGCTACAGACTTTGTCTGTCCCGTAACAGTCACAGGTCAGGACAGCCGGGCAAGAACTGGCAGTTTTCCTCATCACACCAGTCACAGCTTTTGTAGAAATGGCTGCCTTTTTTGTTGCTAGCTTTCTTGAGATTATATCCACAGTCTTTGATTGCTTTATGAGCTAAAAATAAAAAAAGTTGTATTTTCTATTTCCACGACATTTAACATGATGCCTTCAAATGCTGGCATGGTAAAAGCATTATCAAAAGCATAAACTTCATTCAAAACTGCTGAAGGAGCTATCAGACTGCAATTCAACAGCTCTTTATTAAAATGTTTTAAGGCCACTGGGCATGGCTGTACATGTTAGTAATAGCTGAACTAGGAAAGCTGAGGCAGGAGGATTCCAAGTTTGATGTCAACCTAGGCTATATAGTAAAACCCTGTCTTTAAAAAAAAAAAAAAAAAAAAAAGGTTTGGCTTTCGGGGTTTTCTGTCTAATAACCCAGTTAGCGTGGCAGATATTTGACTGTGTTAGAACAGTTCCCGATACACTAGGAGCATTACAGCAGTACTAACCATCACTAATTGCCAGGTCTAACTCCTGTTAGAACTGTAACTGCAGTACACTTCGTCACCCATTGTTTGAGCCCTGGCTGTCACAGGGTCCTTACGTCACCTTAGAATCACCTAACCTGAAGGCACTTCACAGCCATTTACCTACGGGGTGGGGACTCAGGTGAAGTGGCCCTGTTCTCAATGTTCCTCTAGAGAAAGAACAGCAACAGCTAACAGAATTAAAAACTCCACCAAAAAAGTTCGGGAAAAAATGGAGGACAACTGAATTTTGAGTAAAAATACCTTCTGCCAAAGCCAAACTCTACCACATGCTCCAGTGCTAACTCTAGCGGGTTCCCCGAGCTCCTCAGCGTGCGCTGACTGACTGACGGGCGACTACAAGGCTACATTACTTACTTTCTCTGCAGGGCTCTCATGGGAAATGGAGCTGTGTATATTGAAATTTCTTTCTCCAAAAACAGAGCGCTGGACAGAAAGGCCTACAGATCCCTCCTACAATACCAACAAAAACAGGAGAACAAGGGTCACATCTGTAAACTTTCTGCCAGCTGTACTCTGCCACAGCGTTTAAAGAGTTAAGTGACGGTAACCAAACAGCCGCATCCAAGCCACTCTCGGGCACCAGAACACTGTGAAGGAGGGAATAGTCTAGACAACTCCACACACACACACACACACACACACACACACACACACACACACACACACACACACGCGCACACACGCACACGTCACCACAGTCCACACAATGTCACCACAGTCCACACCAATGTTACCACAGTCCATACAATGTCACCACAGTCCACACAATGTCACCACAGTCCACATCAATGACACCACAGTCCACATCAATGATCAATGTCACCGCAGTCCACACAATGTCACCACAGTCCACATCAATGACACCACAGTCCACACAATGTCACCACAGTCCACACAATGTCACCACAGTCCACACAATGTCACCACAGTCCACATCAATGTCATCACAGTCCACACACAATGTCACCACAGTCCACACACAATGTCACCACAGTCCACACA